AACTGCAAATTTTTCAAAAAAACAACATTTAATTTTTTTTTTTTTAAATCAGTAAATTTTAAAAAAAAATCTAATTTTTTAAACAAAAAAAAAAGTCAATGTTTTAGGTACCTATATCCATATTTTTTTCAAATACATATATGCATATTTTATATACTATAATATTCGTAAGTAAATCATAAAAAAGCTCACTTTTATTATTCAATCTCTAAACATAATAGTACAAGTATTTTATTCGATAGAAAATAAAATATATATAACAAATAAAAAATGCCACAAAGATTCAAAGTGTTATCATTTCTTCATATCAAGATTTCCATATTTTTTTCAATTTATCACTTTTTACATCTTCAATATTTTCCACAAATTCTTCAAAATCTATAAGAATTTTTTTTTTCTAAAAATTGATTAAATATAAGAATACTCACAAAAATGCACATGTATATATCATGTAAGATTCACATGTGATTATATCATGTAAGATTCACGTGTGATTATATAATGTGATACTCACATGTTATTGTATCTTTTAAAATTCAAATGTGAAATTCACAAGAAAAATTTTAAAAATAATTAACGAAGAACGCTCACACAAAATGCATGTGTGTATATAGACGTAATTCATATATGATTCACTTGTGATTTACATTTGAGTCACATGTAATTCAAATGTTATTCACTTGTGATTTACATGTGAATCACATGTGATTGAGATATGGTTCGCTTGTGATTTACATATAATTCATATGTGATTCACTTACATGTAATTCATATGTGATTTACGTGTGAATCATATGTGAATTACATGTGATTTACATGTAATTCATATGTGAATTACATGTGATTTACATGTGAATCACATGTAATCCATATGTGAATTACATGTTATTTACATGTGATCATATGTTATTCACTTGTGATTTACATATGAATCACGTGTAATTGATATGTGATTCACTTGTGCTTTACATATAATTCATATGAATTACATGTGATTCACAAGTGAATCATATGTGAATTACATGTGAATCACATGTAATTCATATGTGAATTACATGTTATTTACATGTGAATCACATGTAATTCATATGTGAAATACATGTTATTTACATGTGAATCACATATAAATCACAAGTGAATCACATATGAATTACATGTAATTCATATGTGATTCACTTGTGATTTACATGTGAATCACAAGTGAATCATATGTGATTTACATGTGAATCACATGTAATTCATATGCAAATTAAGATGATTTAACCAAGATAGAAAAAAAATCGGGTGTTGTCTTTTTGATCGGTCAAAGATCTGACCTTTGTGAAGGTATCACCTTGATTAAGAAGATAAAGCAGCTTTGTAATGATCTGGCAACCAATGAAGAAATATTATATAATAGATCATGTACATGTAAGAGAATGATACAGGTACGACAAATCAGGTGTTGACACTTTGTTAACTTTTTCTTTAACTTTTCACATGGATCTGAAAAAGATTTGGAAAGAAATCAAGTAAGAGACTTCATATAAAACAATCATTGATATATTAAATATGATAATAATAATAAATAATGATTGTTGTTAAAAAATCAGTTTTTATGCAGTAAAAAGGTCAAAACAGTTGAGTATACTTATACTTTTTTTTTTAATAATTGAGCAATTAACAATTAATATAACCCAAATATACCTAAATTGATATTACTTGATGTTTAAAAAGTATGGTTTTAATAAACAATAACATCTTAAACTCACCGGGAAAAAAACACTATTTTTGATCAAACAAATAATGTACAAACAACATGTACTACTGATAGAATTCAACAAATTCAAGGGTTAAAGTGAATGGTCTGAATTTAAATGGTTTAAATGCATGTTATATCACTCTAAGAGCATGGAGAACGGGTAGACAATGCAATGAAGTTTCAGTTAAAGCCCATGCTTTGAAAGGTCAACATTGTGTCCATGGAAGACTTGTTGGTGATGGTTTTTACTATTTAACACATTGACTATTTTTTCCAAGAAACTATAGACAATTTCAATATTAAGATAACTTATTTGATTATGATTATAGTTCTTGATTACAAAGTCAGAGAACATACAACCCAATAATACTTATTGGTAATGTCCCATCCACCGCTATACTTTCTGAATCGGTTAAGAATATCATGTCATTTTGTTCTTGAACCCGCTAATACAAGTACACTAATTGATCCACTAGAAGGAGCAGGTGCTTCAATTGATGAACTCAAGATCCCATTTCTCTAATGACCATCTTCCCCTACAATTATCAATCGTAATTCCCCAAATGTATTAAAAGTTATTAATGAATTATGTAGGTGAAATCATTGGTAATCAATATCAAATCTGGTAATAGAAGAAAAAACCTAAACGCTATAAGATGTCGGCAAAGCTCGTTGATTCAGTAATCATGATGAATTAAATGTATACATAAAACAAAACATCAACATCAACATCAAGTAATCGATATACAGAAATGTAGTACCTAAGATGTGTTGACGATTTGGCGAAGGCCATGGAATACTTTTTCCGTCCGTCTGGTGGAATCATTTTCCATCGATGATCTAGTGATTAATGAGTGTGGATTGGAAATCGTTCTGTTTTGAGGCTTCTGATAGAAATCAGGATTAATCTCGATTATTAAAGAACTGCACATCGATCGATGATAAGTCGATGTATCTCCGATCGTCGACAGTGAAAATGTGAGATTCGTATTGTGGTTGCCTCTGTCTCGATCTCCCTTAACATCTTGATCTGATGAAGAAGATGATGAAAATGTCGATAAAGACAATTGCTCAGACACATGAAATATCAGTTGAACCATCCCCATGATCTAAGATCAATAATCATGAAATTAGGGCAAATCGAGAGATTACAATTTTATTTCTCATATCGTAAATTATTTAGACTATCATATTGCAATTTAATATGAATATAATTTAACTCTCTCTCTCTCTCTCTCTCTCTCTATATATATATATATATATATATATATATATATATATATATATATATATATATATATATATTTGTTTTTCCTATAATCCCTTAGTTTTATTTAATTAAGATATCCTCACTTATATAGCTCTCTATTTATTTACAAAAATGCCACAAGACATCTTGGTCATCCATTTTTTTTATCTAACGTTTCACCTTTAGTTCTTGGGTTCTCACGAAACTATGAGTTCTCAAATGACTATCTCTGATGAGCATCTACCTCCTGACTATTATCGTTCAAATAGTGTGTGTGTGTGTGTGTGTGTGTATATATATATATATCTATATATATATATATATATATATATATATATATACACACACACACACACTATTTGAACGATAATAGTCAGGATGTAGATGCTCATCTTTTTATGGGTTAAGGTTGGAGGTAGTAGTGCCACTGAAACAGCACTCCTTTCACCGCCATATATGCGCCGCATCACTTTTTACCACACAAGTGTGGTTTCATGCCACACCAAGGGAGTGAGAGAGATTATGGTAAAGTGAGAGAAAAGAAAAAAAAAATAGAAGGTGATTGGTTGAAAGAGGAGAGAGAGAGAGAACAAATAAAAGAGGATATATATATATATATATATATATATATATATATATATATATATATAGAGAGAGAGAGAGAGAGAGAGAGAAAGAAAGAGAGAGAGAGAGAGAGAGAGAGTGAGAGTCAAAGTGCAACAAAAATCTACCGCATTGCGGTCAAAACCGCACAAAACCACAGCCTGTGGGCGGTATGCACGGTTGAGGTGGCACAAACCGCGACCCCAAACCACAGCCACACCTCTAGCTTAATAAGTTGATATGATAACACATTACAAACTATGCTTTGTACACATTTGATTGCTTAAATTAGTTTTTATACACAATTTACTTCTAAAATGACATTCCTCTTAAAAAAACATCACTATTTTCTTTTTTTCGTTTTTACTTTTTTACTACTTTTAAAATTGTTTTTTAAAAAGTAATTTTACAACTTTTTCATTATATTTTTAACTTTTTAAGCCTTTTAATCCTTTTTCATTATAAATTATTTTTAGATCAAAATGGAAAACTACTTACCAAAACTTTCATCTTTTTCTATAAATCAAAACTCATCTAGGAAAAAAAATATGTTAAACGTGATGGAATTTTATCTCAAAAAAGAGTAAGTTAAAATGTACTTTATTTAAACAGGTACTTTAAATGTGACGAAATCTTTTCACGGACGTGTTTTAATAGCATTTGTATTAATACTTTTATTTCGATCAAATAGTAATTTACCTAAATAAATTAGCTAAACATTAAAAAAACGTAAATAAAAATGTATATAAAAACTTATAAAAAAAGATATTTGAAAAAAAAAATACTAAAATAAGTGAGTAAAAAGTTACAAAAGAAATAGTAAAACAAGTTTTAAAAAAAAAAAAAAATTATATAAGTTTGATAAACGTTTAAAAAGTTGTGAACAAAGCTTAATGATGTTTCCTGAACAAAAAATATCACTTGTAAGGAAAAATTGTGTTTAAAAAAAATATATCAATGATCAAGTATGTACAATAAACATAGTTTGTTGCTCTATATAAGTATTAACCCAGCAAAAGTATAGCCAAAACCGACAAAACTGGCTATTACTCGCTAAATAGTATATTTAAAGATCATATAAATTTAATGCTAAAACATGTACCAAAAAAAATACATCAATAAAATGTAGCCTGTTACCTTATCTAGTAAATATAAGTGTATTACTATAACAGAATGAAACATATACACTGATCATGAGCTTGAATAGTTCTGTTGTTTCCTTACCTAGATTTCAGCCCGAAAAGATTGTATCTAAAGCATAGCCGAGATATTTAAATAAACACATCCCAATATCAATTAGGATTAATAAGGAGCATTAACTATCAACCTAAAATGGGATGCTACTAATAAGGATATTAACAAGTATCTACTACTAACCTAAAATGTTATGCTATAATTAATAATCTACTCCAATGTAAACAACTCTTTATAACAAAACAGAAACGATGAATTGGGCAAAAATTCTAACACCAATAATTATTATGAACGTTTATAGTAGAGTAAAAAAGATCATGATAATAAACATCATCATATTACAAAAGAACTTAAAATTTTATGAGATTCAACAACATCCATATTCCATCTCTTTCTCGTTGATTAAAATGAAACTCTATATGATTCAAAAGACACATTGACTAGTGTTCCAATGCACTTCGAAGGGAGACATGAGGAGCATTGGTTGATGATGAGGAGGAGGAGGAGGCCCTACTTATCTGATCATAGTTTAGAAACAACACAATTACAGTTATGTCATCGTGGAAGTGACGCCGCACCCGCTTGTCGATTTTCCGGAGATCAGAATATCGCATTTCACGCTTTTTTGCCGCTTCATGCAGCGCCGCTTTCACCAGCCTCTTTGCTATTCCCTACAAACATCCAATAAAAAATAATAATATTAAGTGCCGTATCGTTTCTTTTTTACTTACTAGACTTAACACTATATAACAAAGTGTTCCTCGTACACAAACAGGCAAATGATGTAATTGCCCCTACGTGTTTTTTTCATCCATGTGCCTCCTACTATACCGACAAGTCAAATATAGCATGATATATATACACACATACATACATACATATATGTCCAAAGATATGCAAACATATATATATATATATATATATATATATATATATATATATATATATATATATATATATATATATATATATATATATATATATGTATTTAAGATACGAAACGACAATGTGTGTAATGTGTCTGGATTACTCGGAGACTAAACATAGACTACATAGATAAATAATGGCCAAAAATGGAAAGAGTGATAACTACAAGGGGTGAAGATGAAATTAGAAAGTAGAAAAGGTAAGAAAGCTTACGGCGCGTGGATTATTATGAACGATTTCCACGGCTTCTTCATTACCCAAGTGTTCCCATAAACCATCAGAAGCAAATATGAGAAATGAATCGCTTGGTTGAATGTCGTGAGTAAGGATTGATGGAGTAGCTGACATGATTGGCATAACCGTTGCTTCGGGAAGTCTGAACTTTGGTAAAATTTGATCGTTGTTGTACTCCGTGTGTTTCATATAAACATCCCCAATTGACCTCGAAACCTAATTACCAAAAAACATAATTAGCATAAAAAAAACATATCACCATATACACCTATTCTAGAAAACAGTCAACTAAAAAAAACCATCAACTAAAAACTTAAAACATCTAAAAACATGTAAAACATAAAACAAAATAAAAAATCATCAACAAACTTGTTCATAAGGCCTCCTAAAAAATCATTACGTGTACCAATTGCTCGGTTGTTCATAATAAGCAACTATTTTGACCATAAAAGATTTTTCCATTTGATTACTTTACTTCCTCCAATCGCTATTCTTCGATAAGTGGGTCCCACCTTGTTGCATCTTTATCTAACCCCACGTCATATAAATCCATACCCACAAATCAAATATGTTATAAATATTAATGTTTGTCCAATAAGCACTACCCTTGAGAAAATAATATAATTGGTATAAGCTACAAGGACATATTTCTTTTTCCATTTTTTTTACACATAAGTTTACATCTGATCAAGAACTCACATGGGTATGCACTTAAGAGTGATTAATAATCAAATTGAATAATTTCCAAAAAAAAAAAAAAAAAACATTAAGAATAACCTGAATGATGCCTTTGACCCTCCAAACTCCATGTTTCAAAGCAACAATCTGTGGATCATGTGGGTGTAAATTCTTTAACTCGTGTCTAACTTCCTCAAGATTTGCATTATGCTCTGATGACAACTGAATAGCTGCCATTCCTCCAGTGTTACCAACTTTTTTACCAAGAACAACACGTGAATCTCCAAGATTGGCTATGAAAAGAGTCTGCTGATATATAACTCCAACTAAGCAACATGATCCAACGGTTGCAATGCTAGGACGCGTGTTAAATAACTCGGACACTACAGCAGTGAATCCATTCTCAGTTGCAAGAAACGCGTTCTTTATGGTATCTGGAGTCACCACACCATAATCCTCGCTAGATCTTGCTGCAAAATTTAATGAGTATCTCCTATTGGTAAACGTTTAATAATATCCTTCAATAATTGATGTTTTTTTTATCTTTCCTACTAAGTCCTGTATATGCGTAATGAATGATATTGGATGTTGTATACATAAGGTATGTTTCTTTTCTAGACTGGATATTCCAAAAAAGAAATCACGATATTCACAAAATTTAACATTTAGGGAGTTGAGAGGAAAAAGAAGTAGGAGAAATAGGTAAAGGATTAGCGTCTGTATACATTAAGACACTACGTTTGGCTTTGACCCATCAAGTCATTCTACCGATTAAGTCAAAAAGAAACCCCCGGCAATGAGATCAATATTTTGTAATGATTATCAATGGGAAATGGATAAAATTTGGATATCAGATTATCAATTTTGCATAAACATTCCTTGAATCACAAGCTGTAATCATGAGATATCAATGTCAAATTGTCAATTGTGATCCATCTATGTGTTGTAGAATAAATATGTGCTAGATTCGAAGCAAATAGCGATTAGATGAAAGAGAAGTAAACCTTGAAAATTCCTGAACAAGTTGTCACAAACGTATCGGGCGACATCAGGTCCGCCATGACCATCATAGACGCCAACAAATGTACCGAAAGGACCAGACTCGATCTGGCTTTGGTCTTCAAGCACCTGGTTAGCCTGAACGACGGCCATGGAGTAATCTCCGCCACTGTATTTTCCGATATCTCGATACCATAACAATCCATCTTTTTCAAAGTCATCGCCATCGCCATTATAATTACCATTGACACCGGAAGCAGCGCCTGTTTCGCCACTGTTAGTGAATGGCTTCCAACACACCGAAAGGAGATTCATGAATCCTTCTGACATCCCACATTTCTCGCACGGAATCCCCTATATATCAAACCCCCAAATAATTTAATTTCAACATAATTAATGAAGTGGCATCATGATAAGTTTTCACCGATAAAGAGTCTTGAATTTCTTAAATTCAAATCCTTTACTCCAAATCTTGACAAGTGACGTATGTTAGAAACACCCAAATAGAAAAACTTCAACAAGAATCGTACAACTGGCGAAAAACAACACCACCCAAATTAAAACAAGGGCGGCTATCTGTTTATTTTTGCAATTATACCAAATCTGCGGATTAGAGATTCTTGATTTTGATTGTTGTTCAAATCTGGGGAAAATGAGAGAAACGGAAAGCTGGGCGGCTTTGGTTTTGCTTCTGGTTCCTTGAGGAAAACTTTGTGAATCTTGATTGAATTGAAATCGAAATAGATTTTATGGAGGAGAAGGTGGAACCCTAATGGGAGGAGGGGGGTGTTGGGTGGTGGAGGAACAAGAATGTGTTGAATCGATTCAATTCCGTTGGAGAGAAGTTGGCGTAGGGAAGCTTTTTGTTGGGTGTTACTTTCAATGTTTCTCCTTTCTGATTTCCTGTTTACGCGTTTTTTTACACACGACCATTAATTCTCTTCTTCGCACGTGGAAGGAATCATGGGGACCTTCAAGTCGTTTCTTCAAATTCAAGGGTGATTCTATGTGTAAAAATAAGTTTTTATATACATAAAAATTTATATATTATACAGTTATACCGTATAATATTTTAAAATATTAATTGTTATATATTGAAAAAAAATTATTATGTACAAATCATTCCTTCTTTATATAGAAAAAAACAATTAAAATTATTTTTTCTCAGTTATTTGATATTTTATTTCAATTAACGAAAAACTTCTTATTTCTATTTTAACAAAAACTAACAGATTATGTTGTATAATTAAATAACCAAGATTTTACTATTAAAAAATATAGGATTATATTAAAAAATTTCTTAAGATAACAAGATTTTTCTACATAAAACCCTATTATATATAGTATTTGTTTGAACGTATTGAATAATTGCATTAACCATGGAGGCTTTATTATTATTATTTTTTAAGCATCAAAGTTTATTAGAAAGTAGACGAATGTTTGCGCGTTGCGCAGAAGCATCTATATAGCTGAAATATTTATAAATATATGTTTTTTAAATATAACAATAATATCGTTAAACTTGATATAATAATTCGTATACTAAGTTGATATAGTATATTGATCATTTTGAATTATATGAATATATATACATCTATTAAAACTGCATAATCTCAATCTTTTAAATGATATCTACTTGCGGGCTACTCATGAATATAACTAAATATAATATATGGTTTAATATTATTTATAGTTGTTATTTTTAATTCATTTTTAAAATTTATTTGCTTAACGTTTTAATTTCTATCAGTGTAATTAATTAAAACATCAAACATTTTTTTTAAAAGTTAACAATATAATCACTTATATGGAGTTATTTTTAACTATTGTTATTGTAAGTTATTTTAAGCTACTTATTTCAAAACTTTTAACGATTATAAAAATATCTTTAGGAAATATTTTAGTGAATTGATATTACAATTTAGTTTCTGTATTTAATACTACAATTTATCACTTTTCACTATTCACAAAATATTCTTTCGGTTTTTTTAAGTGGATTTGAAATTCATATTGAAGTTGACACTCTAATGTTATATTTAAATTAACAATTTAAGTATTTTGTCCAGACAGTTTAAAAGTTGTAGATTTAAACTAATAATGGTTTACATACAACAACATATTAAATCTAATAAATTAAGTATAATATCTTAAAAGTTGAAGATATAACTTTATAAGTAGAAATAAAAATATTATTTTAATACTAAAATTTACTTTATTTTTTATTACACTTTAGGTTTGATACTTACTTATCCTTATTAACAAATATATAATCATTATTAGAAAGACAATACAATTTATCACTTTTAACTATTTACAAAATATTATTTAGGTTGTTTAAGTGGAACTAAATTTTATATTTAAGTTGATGTTGTAAGGTTATATTTAAATTAATAATTTAAGTATTTTATACAAATTGATCAAAAGTTGTAGCTTTAAAATGATAATGGTTTACATACAACATATTAGACCTAATAAATTAAGTATAATATGCTAAAAGTTAAAAACAAACTTTATAAGTAGAAATATATATATATATATATATATATATATATATATATATATATATATATATATATATTGAAATTTAGTTTATATAGGATTACACTTTATGTTTGATATTTATTAACCTTATTAACCAACTTATAATAATTATTAGAAAGAAATTAAAAAGTTATGGGAGTTTCAAATGAATGTGGTGAAAGGAAAAAATGCATGGGAGTTTCAAATGAATGTAGTTCAAGAAAAGTGCAAGCTTTATAAGTATACTAGACGAGTTCTTGTGCGTTGCGCGATGCATGTTAAAAATATATTGTTAGAATTTAGTTTTCAGACACCTTTTAGTTAATTCGATTCATCAATTTAGGTTATTTTATTATTATTATATTTATTGTTTTACTTTTAACTATGTTAAATATATATATATATATATATATATTGAATTTTTTTAAACATTATTTAATATTTTACTTTAGGTTGTAAATTTTACACTAAATTTTTAAGCTTATTTGATATATTAATGTAGGTTATTTATTTAACTATATATTGAATTAACAAATTAAGTATATCATATTGATAAGTCACAAGTTCTTCCATGCATGATTATGTTTACAGCTAAAAGCATATTTAAGTTAATAAACTAAGTACATTGTATGGAAATATGAAAAGTTGGGAGTTTCAAACGAATATGGTGAAAGAAAAAATGCTTCCTTTATAATATAGTATAATGATTATAGTTTTAATTTTTAAGTCATTGTGATATATATAATTATTTCATAATTTTATAAACCATTTAAAATTGTATAAATTATATATCAAATGTATGATAATCTATATATAATGGGTAACAAAATGTATGAACAAAAATATGAACTACAACTTTTAGCACATAAAAATACAATAACATCTATTATAACATTTGTATATATATATACATATATATATATATATATATATATATATATATATATATATATATATATATATATATATACAACGAATAATAAAAAGTATGAAAAATAAACACTATAACTTTTAATAACATAAAAACACTAAAACATTTATTATAACATTTATATTTACTTTTCATATTTAAATCACAAATCTCTTCAAATACATTAATATTTTAATGAGCAAAACTTTACAACCTTATAAAAGAAAGGAAAATAAAAAGTTATTAGTGATTACTAATTAATAATCATAAGTTAAAAATTCTTGAGTTGTAACTAATAAGTATACATAAATTAGAAAACTCTTGATTTGTAATGTGAGTTTCAAATGAATACAGTACTTGGAAATGTGTATTTATTATTATTATTATTATTATTATTATTATTATTATTATTATTATTATTATTATTATTATTATTATTGGTTTTGATGCATCATTTTAATCTTTTCAATTATTAAACATAAAGATATTTAATTATAAATTTATAACATACATAGACACACACACACACACACACACACACACACATATATATATATATATATATATATATATATATATGTTAAACAAATCACATATAATATATATTTTCATAAATATCATATGTAATTATTGTCGTAGTAATATGGATAAATTGCTTTCATATGAAGAACATATCATGATAAGTCATCATAATTACATATCAAATGTTAAAAATTATGTTATCTTTTAAATATTGTCTTGTAAATATATTGTGTAGGATAACCCAACAAAAAAATAATAGAAAATAAACGTAATCAAAATAGAAAAACTACAATTAAATAAATAAGAACATTGGTTGGTTGAATATATAAATAAAAATGTTACATAAATATACGTTTAAATGAAAAGAAAAAACTAACATTCGTCTAATTTGCTCAAACAAAAAAAAACATATATCCGTTTTTTGAATCTTCTTTCTTTATTGAACACCATTCAACCATAGAAATTTGATGACAATTCTTCATTAACTTGCAATGAAAATGTTTTTCTTGAAAAAGAAGAATTAGAAAGATATTCCAAGCAAAACACTGATGTTTGGAGAGTCACATTCAAAATTGAGTAATACATACAAATCATATATAAATGTCAAATGAGAAATTGAATATAATGAAAGAATAGAAAAGCTTCATTTGTTTTGGTTGAAAGAAAAAATAATATTACAATTACCATCATTGCGACATAACCCAATTCTTCAAATCATCATATTTTGATCGTGAATGCTTCAACTATATGAAAACTTTTGAATCATAATATCTTTAACCAAATGATAACTTTTTGTAAGAAAAATGTACTAATATAACTACATATATAATGAAAGTGAAAGGGTATGGTGGTTTAAAATGCATGAGGTGTTGAACTTATAGATTGTGTGATTTTCTTGGAATGGGATTATATGTGATTAATTACTTTGAAGGTGAAAGGGTGTGGGGGTTTCAATGCATGAGGTGCTGACAAATTTTTATGGGGGTTTCAAATGCATGAGATTCAAGAAAAAATTCTAGCTTTATAAGTATGTATGACTACTCATGTGCTAATAAAAGGGTCTCATATTAGAAGGATGAGGAATAGCAAGAGTTAGTTTAGCTATCCAATTTATTTTACACTTTTTATTAAAGAGTTCTAATTTTTCGATTCTTACTCTTTCAAAAATAAATGGTCTGTTAATTCGAGATAACCTAAAGAATCGTAATGAGCACATATCAAACTATTTCTTTTTAGGAGCATTAAAGTTTGTGTTACCTATTAGGGTTGGCCCTGAGGATTCAAATAATTAAGATGAGCCAAAAAAAAGGCACTTAGCCCTAACGTGTATAAAATGCATACTTCATTTATGATTAATTCGAATATTGATAAATTTACTTCAAAATTACTTATGGTTGTCATACTTCAATAATAGATCAATATAGTTAAAAATTTCAACAAAGGTAACTACAACACAAAAATATTTCTCCGTATTTTCATAAATAGATATCATTAGTTCGAAAAATGGTTATGGCAATAAAAACAAATTTAGCCTAAATCCAATTCACCTCCAGATAGCTAAAAAAATCATTAAAAAAAAGATAATCAACATATATTTGGTTGCAATACATAGTGGGGAAATGCAACAAGAAAATAATAACAAATACGAATCACATTCGGATGCAAACTCACTCTTTCGGGAAGAATCCCACACGAGAGCAACAGTCACGTAAGGATTAAACACTTCAGACACAGTAATGACGCTATCTCAAAAAATAGTGCAGACAAAGTAATGACGTTACATCAAATCTAAAGGCACATTTTATTTAAATTAAAGTTTGGCTTTTTGGGGATGTCACAGCATAGGAAAGGATCGCCATGATGTAGCGAGGCATTTTGGTCGTGGGTCACTGTTGACTCACCACGACATGGCAAGTATAAACCATGGTGTGGCCACCGTTGAGGCCGTAAACCCTAATTTTTTGGGGTTTTCAGCATATTTAAAGGAATGAGAAGGCTAGGGTTTGCTCACCCTCAACCTCCACCACCCTTTTAAGCTCTAAAGAAACCCTAATTCATTTTCCTCCATTTTTTTAGCTTTCTTGAGTGCTTTTGGGAATTTTTTTGAAGGAAGAAGCATGAAGGAGTAAGCCAAGGATCAGCAAGCAAGTCCCCATCTCCTTTACTAGCTCGATTCTAGACCCTTGTAAGTGCTCAAGGCTCCACCTTTTTGTTACTAGGTTGCTAGATCTTGAGCTTTATCCCATTTTCTTCTAGATCTTGTTAGCTGGGATGGTAAGATTTCATAAAGGTTGCAACTTTATGAATCTCTGGATCATTTGGAGTAATTCATGGTTTGGATTTGAAGTTTGGTTGGTTGTTTGAACCATGCATAAGATTTTGGTCATAATCCCCATTTTTGACCTAATATAAGTCCAGGACATGCATTGGACATACATGTCTAAAAATTAACAACCTTTAAGTTGGTTTTAGTGTTATAAGATCTTCTGTGGTGAATGGGCTAAGGACTTAATGGATTAAGTGCTTCTTGGTTAGCTCATGCCATGTTTTTTCCTTTTGGACCTAAGATTTGAGATCTAGACCTCTTGGAGAATCTTAAGGGATAAAGTTGGAAAATTTATCCATCTAGACTATAAAAATGACCAAATCTAAACTTTGGAACGGTTGGAATCGAAAGATCCGGTTTAACCTATTAAGATATTTTGAACCCAGTGCCCACGACGTGGCCCTAGGTTGCCATGGCGTAGCGACTATGGTTAATCATATTTGTTTTGTCATTTGAGGGCCACAACGTAGCCAAGGATGGCCACGACATGGCGAGTCAACTTTAACTATTGACTTTAACTATTGACTTTTTAACCTAAGTTGACTTTTGGTTAAACCCATAGTTTTGGAAGGTGAATCGAGGGTGTACCTTGTATGGATGTATAGGTGGTGTATAGCGTCTTTACAGTTAGTAGTAGGAGCAGTAGCAATTGATCATTGTCTGATAGGTGAGTATTCTCACTATACTATGTAGGATGCTAGTTGTCATTGTGATACTTTCATTGAAGACCTTGGGCGTAGCCCATGGAATTTGTATGAAAGACCGTGGGGGTAGCCCATGTCAATTGCATGAAAGACCATAGGGGTAGCCCATGGCACTTGGTTGTAAGACCCTGGGGGTAGTCTATGGAATTCTAGGGAAAAGACCATGGAGGTAGCCCATGACACTTGTATGTAAGACCATATGGGTAGCCCATAGCAATGTATGTATGGTATGTGGTATTTTGGGGAACTCACTAAGCTTTTTGCTTACGGTTTATGTTTGAAATATTTTCAAGGACTTCCGCTTCGAAAGGGAAGGGCCCGACATGATTGCACAACATCCACCTATGTTCTATATTTTATGATTTTGGGATTGTACTGTGATAGTTATTTCTACAGTGACATATATGGTTGATGGTTTGGTTGATTTAAAAACAAAATTTTTTACTTAGAAATTTTGGGATGTTACAAGTTGATATCAGAGACTTAGTTTGAGGGATTCGATCACACTATCGGGTGTGTCTGAACTCAAACTGAGGAATTGGTAAAAAGAAAAATACTTTTTTCAAAAAGTTTTTATACAAGAAGGGTGTGATACGTGAAATCGGCCGAGCTCAAGTAAGTATTTCCCAAAATACCCATACATGTTCATTTGTTCTATTATGTGTATATGTGAATAACTTGCTAGATTAGGGCTAAGGACCTGCTCAGAATTGCATGATAGGATGTTAGAAGAGATGCCTTTGTATGTCTATTGTACAAGCCTTTAGAATTGCATGTTAGTGTGGATTTCAGATGATATGATAGAGCAGCCTGATTTGGCAGTGAATTGGTCAGAACTCGATGCTCGAATGTTGCTTGCTTTGTGCTTTTACGAACCATTGTTAATACCAGTTAACTGTCAAGTGAATATGTTAGGTTACATGTTATAGAAATTAGATAATTTTAGAAGGCTCAGTTTAACTCAATTGTACAACTCTTGTTTGAGTCCAACTGTTGTAGTGTGAGACCTTGTAGTCAAAGAATTATCTAGTGTATTTTGTATGTAATTACATTTGTAAGATAGTTAGCTAGTGTTGGTGAGGGCTTCTTCTACAACTGATGGCGAAGAGTGGTGGAAGGGAATCTTAGGGGAACCTATGAAGCATGTTTTCTTGGCAGATGCGTTGTTTAGCGGGAATGGAAAATGTTTGGTGGTAAGGGAGTCACTTAGTGGAATCGGGACAACTCTTGAGGAAAGTACGGATAAGTGTGGAAGGTAGTATCGGGCATGTACTACTAGAAGCACAGGACTTGTACTCAAGTCAAGGGGAGTCACAAGGATATTAAGGAATTCGCAGGGTGTGAGATTCTTCGAGTGTTTTCTGATGGATTGTATTGTTTGTTTTCAGTATGTTGGTTACTTGAGGTGGTTCAGGTCTTAGTGAGGGGTCATGTTCGGGTTTTGGAGCCAGACTCTTGGATGATTAGATGTGTAAGATTGGAGATTTAGTGGTATGTTCCATTTTAACCCTTGTTGTGAATTCTTATCATTTTAGTCCCTAGTTGAGTACACTGTGCATACTTGATTGAAAGTGGGACGTGGAAGCACCCATATACGTTGGGTGTACATTATGAAGGGGAAAACCCTAATTTTTAGGGCTTGTGCCCTATTTAAACAACTTCTAACACCCTTTGGACTTCCTTATGACCAGCCTCCACCTCTCTAAACCCTAAGATCGAAACCTTAATTTCCATTTGTGAAATTTGAGCTTAGAAGTGAGTTTTGGTGGCTTGAAGGAAGAAGAACACTTGGAGGTTGATTTGGTGTGGCTTAAGCTTGTAGATTTAGAATCATCATCATCTTGCAATCCATTTGAGGTATAAAGCTCTTAAATTGATGATTCCTTATGCTAGATCCAACTTAGGGCTTTATTTGTGCATTTTTGGGTCATTTAAGCCATATTTGAGAAGATGGTCTACTCCAGAAGCCATGGATGTTAGATCTTAGCACCATTGAGGTCCCTTGTCCATAAAAATGCAATCTTCATGAGTTATATTGGTACATTCATGTGTTAGGATCCTTATTATGGTTCTCTTTGAGTTTTGGGTCCCATTAAGTCATGCATAGGTGTAAAGTTGCCAACTTTACGTGTTAGGACATCATTAGGGACCAAATCTAAGACTTAGACGTGATGGCTTAATCTTTTAAGAACATAATGGAGAAGGTGGTCAGTTGTGTCGTACGCGGGGTGTACCCAGCTTGTACTCTGCACGTACTGGCCACCACAGTAGAACACGGGGCCTGAATACGTCGGGCGTACTTAGCAGTTGTGACATCGATTGACTTTCTCGGTTTGGGCCACTTTTAGGCTAAAAGAGTTTTAGGCCCTATTGGGCCATTAGCCTTATGATTTTTGGGCCATTTCTATGACTTGGGCGTTTTGGAATTAGGCCCATGATGGGTTTTGGGCCTAATTTAGAAGTTGGGCCATCTTGCGCTATTGGATTGAGACTATGATTTTGGGCCAAGTGAGGAAAGGGTAAAATGGACTTTTTGTTGGGTTTTGAGCATTCTAACACTCCTAAGTGTACATGCAACCCTAAATACCTTGGATCTATGTTTTCTCTATTATACATGCAAATATGAACATCCAAGGTATTATCCTAATCTAGCATACAAAACTATCAATATAACAAGATAGAATACATACCTCTTTGATGTAGAATGTCTTCATGAAGCTTGAGTGCCTAGTGCCCCAAGTGTGACACCTCAAATGGTTCACACAGCACCAAATACACTTGGAATAACTTGAGAGAATTCTACACTTCATAAAATCGACTAGCCCTCTCTAGAATAATCTAGTGGCCGATTTTGTCAAGAATAAGATCTTTATATAGTGTTACAATTAGGGCAAACCCTAATTGTCATGACTTTCCATTTCCTTGGATCCATGGGTTCAAATACACCATGGAGCATCCAAGGAGCATCATATGGGTTTTGGCCCAACTAGATAATCCATGGAGCATTAGCCCACTATACAAGTATGGATGATTTACACAATCAACCCATATATTTAATTAGTCTTCTTTTGATCACTTAATTAATCCTAGATTAATTCTTGATCAATACTAATTAAATAATCTATTATTCTTATTATTAATATACTAGAACTTATAATATATTAATAACCATAAGTGTCTTATTTCTCTCATTTAGTCTATCCAAGTGCATGTATGCAACCCAAATGGACCATGCCGGGTCGGGTCAAGTCTTACCAATTATAGTTATGGACTTAGACATTAATCCAACAGTCTCCCACTTGGATAAGTCTAAAACTATTATTGCGTATGACTTCAGGAACCAACTGGCAATCGTAGCTCTCAAAAGCTTCTGTCGAACTCTGACCTTGTAGATGAACTCTGATCTTGTCAATGACTTGTCCATTAGATAAGGGTTCCTCCATTCTAGATATCATATGGACTGAGACATGGATTATAATCATTCTCTCTGTCCATTTGTTGTTTCCCGATTTCCGATTTATGACGACTGACTAATTGAACAAATCAAATCAGTCCTGGCCCGGCCGAGCACTTCCATTTGTCATCATCAAATCATCGAGGGGCCCACAGATATCGCTTTTATCCCGAAGGTAAAAGGAATGGATAAACTTCGACTCATATGGCTTGTACTACTTGTTGAATCATACACAAAGCACGTTTTATAGTACCGAGTTCGTGCAATCAATGTACAACCAACTCATAGTAACAACTCATATCTCTAGGTTTGAAGAATATAAGATATTATCGTCTCATGATCACTCGTGATAAAATCCATGAAGTGATTCCAATGAGCGCGGGTTGAATCCAATACTCAGAACTTATGAGCACTCATGAGTGTTGTAGCCCTTTGTCCAACATCTTAGACCTCTACAAGCCAACCCATGACAGTCTTAATTCATATCTACTTCCAACATATGACCGACTGTGGATGGTTTGAATAACTTAGTCATTCCGGAAGAATAACCTAGTTTATTCGGGAAGTCAAAACATGCAAAGTGAAACACAATAATAATTGAATCCAATATGGTCTCAAACTATGAATATAAATAAAACACCTTTTATTTATCACCATATGATTACACATTATTCATTGTATACTGTTTCAGCTATCAACTTTATTCTTGAATTTAAAACAATAGTTGTCCCATGCTCCAAGCATGTACACTATGTTTTCTAAACACTAGTCATGCCATACACCAAGTATGCATACTATGTTTGTCTATGATCTTTACTTTGTGAACTAGATCAATTGAACATAACTTCAATGATTCTCTTTTCACACTCCCAAATCCTTACTGCAAATGCAAGAATTCCAAATTCATGCCATTTACTGAAATCTGTTAGATTCTAAACTTATATGCATTGATCCTCTTGTAATGATTATGCACAAATTCACAAAGACTTGCAACAATCATTACAGAGTATTCCAAAGGAGATCAACTCCTTGGAAACATCCTTCTTGCATTAAGTTTCCTTAATCTTACACAGATTGAAATTCTAACTTTGAAACATTTCCAGATTCATTTTGACTATCACTTCTGAACAAGAGTTGCCTCCTTACAGATTATGTCAATATGGTCCTTCCAGAATTATCACTATACTTCCAACTGTCCTTGAGCAACCAATCTTTGGTAAACCTTAGATTGTCCTCGACAATTGTTTAATCCTTTTAGTCATATCCAGTTCTAAACCTTTTCCCTTCTTAATGCCCCAGGCATTTGGAAACTTTTAGAAAGGATGAATATAGCACATGTAATCGATCCTATATCCGAAGCATATGGGACACGATTCATGATGTCTCACATAAAGACTAAACCAGTCTTTTGCTATAACATTTCCATTTCTATTTGCCAAGTTCTCATAATTCAGATTATGAAAAGGGATGCCGTAATCATAATCGAATTTAGAACGCAAATAATGGACCCATATACAGAATTTCCTTATGTTGAGCCATTCCAACATGAAATTCATATATATCCTTGACTAAATGATTAAAACCTCACGATCTAAGCTTATAGATTTGAGATGAAGTATAATTTCCTCTCCCTTAATTATAGCAAAACAACTTTTTCCCAATTGAAACCTTTTGTTTTCTATAATTAACATTGCTAACTTGCAATCTTTAT